GACTCTTGGATCCCGCCTAAAGTGTGTGTATGTGTGTGTGTGTGTGTGTGTGTGTGTGTGTGTGTGTGTGTGTGTGTGTGTGTGTGTGTGTGTGTGTGTGTATTATTTACTATTTGTGCCTGCAGAATCGAGCTACTAGCTCTTGGTCCCCGCCTTTGTAAACACTTTATATGTTCTCTATTATGTCTACTACATATATTTCTCTCTAACAAGCACACACATCCCCCAGGAAGTAGCCCGTAGCAGCTGTCTAACTCCCAGGTACCTATTTACTGTTAGGTGAACAGAAGCATTAGGGGTGAAAGAAACTCTACATATTTGTTTCTGCCTTAGTCAGGAATTGAACCCGGGCCCATAGGACTACGACCCCCGAGCGTTGTCTACTCAGCCGCGAGGCCCCCATTATCTAAAGGTGTTTACATAGTCGTAATGCAGTAACTCCAGAACCTCTGTTTCCCGCCATATTTATTTTGTAAACGACTTATAATTCCCTGGAAGTGTGTCTATCTTTCCCCAAATGCCACTGTGGGTCGTGGAGACCGATAACGGAAATGTGATAACGGAAAGACACAGCGGGGAGGTGATAACGGAGAGATAAGGTGGTTTATCTGTCAATCACGCCGTCTTTGGAGAGTTGGCAGAGACTAAACACAGGATATCCCATTGGACAGGACAGGCGAGAGCCTCCGCCTGTCCCGGGCCGTCTGGGGTTTGTTTACTGAGGAGAGGGGGGGGGGGAGAGGAGGGAATTATCAGGGGGAAAGCGCCAAGCCATTACGACTATATAGCACTTGTAATGGGTCAGGATAAGGATTTGGGATGGAACGGAGGGAAGGAATTATGCCCAACCACTTGGACGGTCGGGGATTGAACGCCGACCTGCATGAGGTGAGGACAGGCTGTTCCACTGTGTTGTGAGGTGAGGTCAGGCTGCTCCACTGTGTTGTGAGGTGAGGACAGGCTGCTCCACTGTGTTGTGAGGTGAGGACAGGCTGCTCCACTGTTGTGAGGTGAGGACAGGCTGCTCCACTGTTGTGAGGTGAGGACAGGCTGCTCCATTGTGCTGTGAGGTGAGGACAGGCTGCTCCACTGTTGTGAGGTGAGGACAGGCTGCTCCACTGTTGTGAGGTGAGGACAGGCTGCTCCATTGTGCTGTGAGGTGAGGTCAGGCTGCTCCACTGTGTTGTGAGGTGAGGACAGGCTGCTCCACTGTGTTGTGAGGTGAGGACAGGCTGCTCCACTGTTGTGAGGTGAGGACAGGCTGCTCCATTGTGCTGTGAGGTGAGGACAGGCTGCTCCACTGTTGTGAGGTGAGGACAGGCTGCTCCACTGTTGTGAGGTGAGGACAGGCTGCTCCATTGTTGTGAGGTGAGGACAGGCTGCTCCATTGTGCTGTGAGGTGAGGACAGGCTGCTCCACTGTTGTGAGGTGAGGACAGGCTGCTCCACTGTTGTGAGGTGAGGACAGGCTGCTCCACTGTTGTGAGGTGAGGACAGGCTGCTCCATTGTGCTGTGAGGTGAGGTCAGGCTGCTCCACTGGGTTGTGAGGTGAGGACAGGCTGCTCCACTGTTGTGAGGTGAGGACAGGCTGCTCCATTGTGCTGTGAGGTGAGGTCAGGCTGCTCCACTGGGTTGTGAGGTGAGGACAGGCTGCTCCACTGTTGTGAGGTGAGGACAGGCTGCTCCATTGTGCTGTGAGGTGAGGACAGGCTGCTCCACTGGGTTGTGAGGTGAGGACAGGCTGCTCCACTGTGTTGTGAGGTGAGGACAGGCTGCTCCACTGTTGTGAGGTGAGGACAGGCTGCTCCACTGTATTGTGAGGTGAGATCAGGCTGCTCCACTGGGCTGTGAGGAGCGGTGTTGCCAGCTGTGCGCGCGGCCTCGCTCTCGTTCCTCACAAACACCGCACTACAATGATACACAAGTCTCCACAACAATGACACGTTTAGCATTATGTTTGAAACAAATCAACCTACTTGTCTCATTGTAGTGGCTTGCGTCCCTCCCTTGCGTCAGGGCTGCGTCGCGTGGCGGAGCTTGACGCAACGCCTGACGCATGAGGCGTCTTGACAAAGTTATAGATGATGGCTATGAAACCTGGAGACCGAGAACATGGAGACCTGGAGACCAAGAACATGGAGACCTGCAGACCAAGAACATGGAGACCTGGAGACCAAGAACATGGAGACCTGGAGACCAAGAACATGGAGACCTGGAGACCAAGAACATGGAGACCTGGAGGCCAAGAACATGGAGACCTGGAGACCAAGAACATGGAGACCTGGAGGCCAAGAACATGGAGACCTGGAGACCAAGAACATGGAGACCTAGAGACCAAGAACACGGAGACCTGGAGACCCAGAACATGGAGACCTGGAGACCGAGAACATGGAGACCTGGAGGCCAAGAACATGGAGACCTGGAGACCGAGAACATGGAGACCTGGAGGCCAAGAACATGGAGACCTGGAGACCGAGAACATGGAGACCTGGAGGCCAAGAACATGGAGACCTGGAGGCCAAGAACATGGAGACCTGCAGACCAAGAACACGGAGACCTGGAGACCGAGAACATGGAGACCTGGAGACCAAGAACATGGAGACCTGGAGACCAAGAACATGGAGACCCGAAGACCCAGAACATGGAGACCTGGAGGCCAAGAACATGGAGACCTGGAGACCGAGAACATGGAGACCTGGAGGCCAAGAACATGGAGACCTGGAGACCAAGAACATGGAGACCCGAAGACCCAGAACATGGAGACCTGGAGGCCAAGAACATGGAGACCTGGAGACCAAGAACATGGAGACCTGGAGACCGAGAACACGGAGACCTGGAGACCCAGAACATGGAGACTTGGAGACCAAGAACATGGAAAGTAGTGATGCTGAACCAACGTGGAGCAGAGAAGTCAATAGAGCAGCAGATCGCTCTCAGAGATCATCCACGTGCGACGACTGGGAGAGTTTTAGCCGCACCTGCTGCCAGGAACTGGTCCAAGGCCCGTAGCGGCCAGTGTGGCGCCCGCCCCCATACATTACAATAAATTCCCTATACATTACATGTATATATTATACAACCGCTGCTACGGGCTGCTTCCTGGGGATGTGTATGTATGTATGTATGTATGTATGTATGTATGTATGTATGTATGTATGTATGTATGTATGTATGTATGTATGTATGTATGTGCGTGTGTGTGTTAGAGAAATATATGTAGGAGATATAATTGAGGAAAAATAGATTTGTGTAGAAAGGCGGGGTCCAAGAGCTTATAGCTCGATTTTGCAGACACAAGTAGTAAATACACACACACACACACACACACACACACACACACACACACACACACACACACACACACACACACACACACACACACACACACACACACACACACACACACATGTAATGTTTACTCGCTCCAGTTTTCATATACCGAATAATGAGTGAATTGTTTGGCCCTTTTTTAACGGCGAAAGACAATAGTATAATATGATAGTTGTACCAGAGCTAAACTGGTTAAGACTGTCAGATCCAGATGACCCAGGTCACAGCTATTGACCTCTTTGGACTCCTCGTTTGAAGAGGAATCCATAGACACCCAACTAGACACACTTCTGATATAAGATAACAAAGTTAGACTTTGCAAGCACTTAAATGCAAGCAATAAATGTGTGCTCTGAGAGATCTATCTCTCACATATTAAGACTTTCAGATTTGAACTGCTAAAGACTGGAAGAGCTTGACTGTTTAAGCCTGGCAGGCCGAGACTGTTTAAGCCTGACAGACTCGTCTGTCGTACTTGATTCAATGAGCTTTCTGAATCCGAATCCGGCTTTGTTTGCGATTGCGTTCGCGTGCGTTGAGCAATATCTGGCGCTGTATCTTATAATCTCACCTGTTTCTAAGGTTTCTCACGTGGTCGAGGGTCCGAGCGTCGTGAGAAGCTACGCAACTCTCACAAGACCTTCAGGAAGCCATTAGAAATGATGGGCGATAATACCAGGAGTCCTGTACGACCACAGTTGAGAGATATATGACTGTGGCGTACGGTACGCCCTCTCTACAGTGGCTTCCTGAGATACGATGCTTAACAAGAATCAATCAGCAAAATAATAATAATAATAATAATAATAATAATAATAATAATAATAATAATAATAATAATAATAATAATAATATATTTAAAGCCAGTTTTGGTGAAGGAACATAGGTTTATATTTCGTATATGGGGGGGGGGATTACAGCTTGGAGTGTTGTATATTGATTGTTGAGTGCTACTGTTGGTGTCTGTTTGTACCTGATGAGTGGCACCGTTGGTGTCTGTTTGTACCTGATGAGTGGCACCGTTGGTGTCTGTTTGGCGTTGGGCTCAACAGCCTATTCCAACCTCTCGAGGGTCATTAAGGTCGCCTCAACACTTTAAAACACTCTGCCAACACAACCAGGGCCACAAACCAGCGGTCCTGGTTGACGCAGCGTCCACCAGCGGTCCTGGTTGACGCAGCGTCTACCAGCGGTCCTGGTTGACGCAGCGTCCACCAGCGGTCCTGGTTGACGCAGCGACCACCAGCGGTCCTGATTGACGCAGCGACCACCAGCGGTCCTGGTTGACGCAGCGTCCACCAGCGGTCCTGGTTGACGCAGCGTCCACCAGCGGTCCTGGTTGACGCAGCGACCACCAGCGGTCCTGGTTGACGCAGCGTGCACCAGCGGTCCTGGTTGACGCAGCGTCCACCAGCGGTCCTGGTTGACGCAGCGTCCACCAGCGGTCCTGGTTGACGCAGCGTCCACCAGCGGTCCTGGTTGACGCAGCGTCCACCAGCGGTCCTGGTTGACGCAGCGTCCACCAGCGGTCCTGGTTGACGCAGCGTCCACCAGCGGTCCTGGTTGATGCAGCGTCTGTTTGTAAAGATCCACTTACAATATTCTTGTGTGCAGCTGATTTTGAATGCTTGCAACACTTCACACAGCAATATTATTGCGTATAACCCAAACTGTAACTAGAGGTACCTGTGTGTGGTGTAGTACACAAGCTGGTGGCTGCTGGACGCCGGATTAGCGGTCACATACGTCGGTGACGCGATGACGCGACTTGGGGAAGATATGACGTACGTGGACGTGGCAGTGACGTACGTCGATGTGGCAGTGGCGTATGTTGAGGTTCCGTTGGTTAGGTGTATTGAAGAGAGAGCAGCAACTGTTGAGAGCCTGGGTGCTGCACAGGTAGCAGCAGGAGAGGCTCTCTTGGCACCCGAGGGCGAAGTTGTGGTGGCGTTGGGCGGCGTGGGCGTGGTGGTGGTGACGGCGGTGGTGGTGTGGGCGGAGGCGACGGGGCTGGAGTACCTCCAGGAGGGACCAGGCTCCGACGCGACGTAGAAACTTGGAACGCACTCCACCCACTCATTCCATTTCTTTTTGTCTGTCATGCTGAGAGTGCGTTCCTCGTTGAGCTTAACACACACACCTCTCTCTACACTCTACACTTGATCATGATTCTACGGGCTCACCATAGACCGTGCTACTGGAACTTGTTGTTCTGAGTAGCTGAATCTAAAATAACAAACGAGGGTCATGGCTGATTCAGCATTTGCATCCACTCAAGTTACTCGGTTTAAAGTGTGAGTATTTTTCACTTTGTTTTATCCTGTAATGGAGGAATGAATTACGTGAGTTTTGGTGGACTTTCAAGTGCGTGAGGTTTGTATTAACTACTCTAGAGCCATTAACAGCGAGCCACACTATAGCGTTATTGGTACTCACTCTTGTTTATGCTTTCACTCTCACTCATTTACACACACACACGCACACGCACACTCACACTCACACTCACACGCACACTCACACTCACACTCACAATCACACGCACACGCACACGCACACGCACACGCACACGCACACGCACACGCACACGCACACGCACACGCACACGCACACGCACACGCACACTCACACTCACACTCACACACACACACACACACACACACACACACACACACACACACACACACACACACACACACACACACACTCACACTCTCTCTAAGTCACTCTCCGCCCCGCAACTGAGACTTCGTCAGCTACACATTCAACAAAGCTGTAATTGCCCTCTCTTCGTCCTCGTCCCTTCACACTTGTAACATCTCCTGGTGATCACACTAGCGCTAACGACCAGGTTGATGTCTTATCTCCCACACTGGTCTAGGTTAGGCGGAGCACCACCCACCACAGCTACCACTCACAGGAGAAACAGGCGCTAAGGGATTGAGCACGGTGCTCGCTGGAGTCAGCTGGCCTACAAGAGTTGAACAAGCAGCCCGGCCTCATCAACAAAGGTCAAATGCTCGTTAACCCAACCGCCAAACCCTCTGTTTATGAATGAAAAACGGTTTACAAACGACTCACAACGGATTTCGTTCGAACACTTCCGGAACAAGTGCTTCACTGACGAATTTTGTTCGAACCACAACGCTGTAAATGCTTCACCCACGTACTACAAATACAAATAATCGCCAACAGAACCTAAACACCTAACCTAATCTATGCCTATATATGCACAATATGCCTATATATTATAATATTAATTTATGTGTGAGAAAATTCCTGTTTTGAATGAACAACATGTTCAAATTTATGAATGCGTCTGTGGGGTCGACCGCTGGATGTAATGGACTTGAGTCGAGGATAGGTTGCTGTAAATGCTTCACCCACGTACTACAAATACAAATAATAGGCAATAGAACCTAAACACCTAACCTAACCTACGCCTAATTATCCGTTAAACTTTAATATATAATAATATTACATATTAAATTATAATATATTAATTTATATATATGAGAATTTTAATAAACGCTAAAGTTCAAATTGACGAATGCGTCTTGAGAAACGGCCACCGCTTGAACGAGCCTAGTCTGAGGACAGGGTGGTGGTCGTGTGGCCTTGAAAAGTGATCCCGATTGAGCGTACTGTTTGGGAGGGCTGAAGGTTAGGTAAAGTAGAGGAGCCCGCCAGTACAAGAAGCCAGCACACGCAGATCGATACAGCATGCGCAGTGATATTATTTAGGAACGATGAGCTATTAACACGAACTGCGCATCGCCTTAAATAACCTGTTTACATTCGCGTTAAACATCCATATTTTTTTGTTGTGAAAATCGTGATGAGTGAACGAAATTGAATTGTTTTTTTTTCACTCTTATGTTTTATGCCGTTTCAAAGTTATGTATACTTTTTATACTGTGTTATACTTTGCTTGACGTATTTCCACTGTTTATAAAGTTATCATTTACGTCAGATAAGTGTCTCAGTGGTTTTAGAGAGTAAAATTATCTGTATCTCTCTAGTATACTGAGTACCCTGTTGTTGTTCTTAAAGTTTCGCTACCTGGAACAAATAGTTCCAAGTAGCACGGGCTATGGTGAGCCCGTAGAGGACTTCTAAGAGAGTACCCGCGTCAGGCTTCACACCAGATATATGTTAAGTATACCCAGTACTTCTCTTCTTAAGTATACTTAATTTAAAGTATATATATATATCAGGCTGGTGCTCCTATATCTGGCAGGTGGTGCTCCACCTGCCAGGTGGTGCTCCACCTGGTGCTCCGGCTGACTTGAACCAACACGGAAAGGGAGGGTGGGTAGATGGGGCGGGGGGTGGGGGGTGTGAGACGCGAACGAAACCGGTTGTGCTTTAAAAACTAACATACTGCAGAGTGAATGCGAGAACCCCGCACACCACCTTTAAGACCTGGCGTGTGGGAATACCTGTGTCGATATTCCGCTAACCAAATGACGCAGAACTACCTCTCGGCTGTTTATTATACGAGCGCCTTGTGATGACACGCTGTGTGGGTGGCCGGGCATGGTTCCGACCTCCAGGGAGTACTTGGTCAGGTGGGTGGTGGGAGGGGGGGGGAGGCGATGGGATCATAGTTATACATACACAACACCTCATTATCATTTGATCTTCAATGCACAAACGCACGCATTCGCACTCATGCACGCTCTGGCACGCACGCGCGCACACACACACACACACACACGCGTGTGTGTGTGATTGGTTAGTTCTATAACCAATCAGGCAGCGATTAAGATAACCACTGACTCAGTGGTTATAGAATTAAGCTGCCAGTGGATGATTCTCTGGCGACCCAGGTTCGAATCCTGAAAGGGTCATTGCTGGAGGGACACACACACACACACACACACACACACACACACACACACACACACACACACACACACACACACACACACACACACACACACACACACACACACACACTTTTGAAGGAAATCTCAGCATATTCTCGTAGTAATCAGTAGGATCTATGCTCGGGGCAGTTTCCAGTGAGGCAGTTCTTGAGGTGGACCTTGAAGACACTAAGATGGACTTCAAGGAGGAGGTTGAGGAGGACTATGGCCACCCAACAGTGTTCTCAGTTCCATCACCACCAACAAAATTATATTTATTTATTCTTCGACTTATTTGTATTATTACTAGGCTATATATTATTATTTCCTTATGTATATATATATTTGATTACACACAATTATTTTTAATATACCTGAGTGGAACACCGATTATTTTCTTACATTGTTTTCACAAAAACAAAATTCACTGATTTCATTGATGACATTCCAAGTTGGCACCTTTTTATCTGTTTGGAAACTATGGTTTTTATCTTTAGGCTTTTCTAATTCTTCTACGAAACCACAGTGTGTGTTGAGGGGAGCGACGGAGGCACTGAACTAGGCCTGGTGAAGGGTGGCACCACGCCAGGTTCCAGCGGTGTTCATTCCAGCGCTGAGACCAGAGTAAGGGGAGCTACCCGCGCTGAGGGGAGTGTTGTACATGCCACCTCGCTCCACCACACACAACTCCACATATCGCACCACACAACATATACCCTCCTTATTACACGTGTTTATAAACGCTCTTAACAACCCCCGTTTACAACCGAGTTTCGCCAAGTGTGTCAAATGAACAACTTGCAAGTGTCAGAAGATGTTAAGACTCGTGAATCTGGCAACTCAGAGTCTATCGTCAACAAGACCCACAGACGAACACACGCGAACCGGGATTTCCCAGCCTTCCAGATCGCCGTGCTTCCAGGAACCTGGACCGTCGCCGCAGCCCCTTGCCAGACGCCCCTTTCCCCTCTCGCACACTGCCCCTGGGGGCGAGTCTTCCCCCTCTCCACTGTTGACAAGTTTACCCTCAGATATACTTAAGGTCATGTGAGGCTAGTGCTTCTCCCATACCGCGGGGGACCCTCCGGCCAGCTTTCTTGTAAATAATCAATGTATATTTCAAGGACGGGAGAATCACGAAATTTGGCCAGTCTTCTAAGGCCAGAGAGAACCACGGAAATTTGGCCAGTCTTCTAAGGCCAGAGAGAACCACGGAAATTTGGCCAGTCTTCTAAGGCCAGAGAGAACCACGAAATTTGGCCAGTTTTCTAAGGCCAGAACCACGAAATTTGGCCAGTTTTCTAAGGCCAGAACGACGAAATTTGGCCAGTCTTCTAAGGCCAGAGAGAACCACGGAATTTGACCAGTCCAATTACTCGTGTACTTGATATATAAATGGGTCACCGCCCACACATCACTGGTATGTTGAGAAAGATCTGCACCAAATAATGACTACTTTATATCTCTACATAAACACATTACACAAAAAGTGGGTGAAAAAAATTCTGAAAGTCTATACTGTATTTGTCCTAAGTTCAAAGACATGGGTTGTCTAACAGATGTGTTCAAACCTGGAGATAATGTTACGGGTTCATGTGATAATTAAAATATAAAATAACAAATAATAATAATAACAATACACAGAGAAATCCCAATAACGTGATATATCAAAATTGAGACTAGAGCGAGTCTGGGAACATCCAGCGAGTAGATTCGAACCCTGATCAAGGCCCTTGTGGATTTGTTTAAATAACAATAATAATAATACAACCTTAATATATTGTGATATATACAATATATCACAATCTTCCCCACGTAACATGAGCACTTCACGAGGTACTGTTTGTGAATGACAGAGGTCATAACTGTAATGTTTGTGAATGGCAGAGGTCATGACTGTAATGTTTGTGAATGGCAGAGGTCATACTGTAATGTTTGTGAATGGCAGAGGTCATGACTGTAATGTTTGTGAATCGCAGAGGTCATACTGTAATGTTTGTGAATGGCAGAGGTCATACTGTAATGTTTGTGAATGGCAGAGGTCATACTGTAATGTTTGTGAATGGCAGAGGTCATACTGTAATGTTTGTGAATGGCAGAGGTCCTGTTGAATGGAGGTGCGTAGAGTAACGGCCGGCGTACGCTGGGTGCACAGAGCCTAAGGTTCAAAACGGGACAAGTGTGGATGCCAACAGCCACAATAGGCCTGTGAAACATCTGACTGTACAGGACTGGTGTGGGTGCCACATGTATAACTGTGGTAGGCCTATGAGGGGGGCAGCTTACGGTAAGTGGGTGTTTGGTAACTGGTCTCTTACTGCAATATATATATATTGGAGCAGTTATATTAAAATATATAAAATACATTAATAGTATAGGAAATACCGAATATGACACTGATATAGTATACACTGTGTGCCTCTGTGTATATGGTGTATGTGAGTAAATATGTAAATTTGTATATTTACTATTGTCGAGTTATTAGCTCTTGGATCTTGCGTTTCTAACCAATCTATTTTTCCTCTATTATGTCTATTACATATTTCTTTCTAACACACACATACACATCCCCAGGAAGCAGCCCGTAGTTGCTGTCTTAATTTCTAGGTACCTATTTACTGCTAGGTGAACAGGAGCATCAGGGTGAAAGAAACTCTGCCCATTTGTTTCTGCCTGGTCCGGGAATGGAACCCCGGGCCACAGAATTACGAGACCTGCGCGCTGTCCGCTCAGCTACCAGACCCCTGTGTGTGTGTGTGTGTGTGTGTGTGTGTGTGTGTGTGTGTGTGTGTGTGTGTGTGTGTGTGTGTGTGTGTGTGTGTGTGTGTGTGTGTGTGTGTGTGTGTGCGTGCGTGTGCAAGGGCAGCGCAAGCGCACGGGGCGGGTATCGACCTGGTGTCCTCCTGACAGCCCCGACTGACTCCAACGCCAAGCTGCGGAGACCTGCAGGAGGGCCCTCCACACATGGTTATACCCCTCCCTCCCTCCCTCCAGACACTCACCCTTCCTCCAGACACCCACCCTCCCTCCAGACACTCACCCTCCCTCCAGACACTCACCCTCCCTCCAGACACTCACCCTCCCTCCAGACACTCGCCCTCCCTCCAGACATTCACCCTCCCTCCAGACACTCACCCTCCCTCCAGACACTCACCCTCCCTCCAGACACTCACCCTCCCTCCAGACACTCACCCTTCCTCCAGACACTCACCCTTCCTCCACTCACCCTCCCTCCAGACACTCACCCTCCCTCCAGACGCTCACCCTCCCTCCAGACACTCACCCTCCCTCCAGACACTCACCCTCCCTCCAGACACTCGCCCTCCCTCCAGACACTCGCCCTCCCTCCAGACACCCACCCTCCCTCCAGACACTCACCCTCCCTCCAGACACTCACCCTCCCTCCAGACACTCACCCTCCCTCCAGATACTCACCCTCCCTCCAGCCACTCACCCTCCCTCCAGATACTCACCCTCCCTCCAGATACTCACCCTCCCTCCAGCCACTCACCCTCCCTCCAGACACTCACCCTTTATCCCTTAGCTCTTTTATCTCCCTAATTCACTGTACCTCTCTTCCACTGACCTGTCTTCGCCCTTAATCATTTCCTTCATCCTCTATCCCTGTCCATCCACCTCTCCCACTCCTTATCCTCCCTTCCCTCTATTTACCCCCCCCTCCCCCATCACCCTATCCTCTCCCCCTCCTCCTATTCCCTTGACCCTACCCATCACCCCCACGGCCCGCTGAGCCTACTTACCCAGTCTCCCAATTTCTGCCATTATGGCTAGTTACTGCCCCCCCCCCACCCTCTGCCCATATAGTTTTTGTGTACTAGGCTTAAATATTGTTCTTCGGCAGCCTAAGTTGTTTATATCGATGTTAAATTTATTATTATTATTATTATTATTATTATTATTATTATTATTATTATTATTATTATTATTATTATTATTGAGTAAATCCGTAATCACATTAACGTGGTGTATCAGTGAGATAATCTGTAGGAGCCGTGGTGGGGATTCGAACCTGTGGTGGGTGATCCCACGCACATGCCCCAGACAACCAGGCCACGACATGATCAAAAGGATTGGTACCTGGAGGTCTACTGAACAGAGGAGGGCTTCCTGAGGCTTGCACTGAAGCCTGTGTATTGAAATAGGAGTGTCAGAGGTAGAATATTCCTTGGTAACAGCCAGAGTGCATGGGGGGGGGGGGGATTGTGTGAAAATCCTGGTCCGGGTTCAGTGGAAGCCGCAGGAAGCCCTCCTGTGTTCAGAAGAACTCCAGGTTGCAATCATTTTGACCATGTCGTGACCTTGTTGTCTGGGGCGTGTGCGTGGGAACACCCGCCGCATAAGTTCGAATCCTTATCACGGCTCCTGCGGATTTTCTCATTATTATTATTCATGTAATCGTATTTTTTTTGTAAATCCAATTTTCCATATCACTTCTATAAATTTACAATTGTTGACTTTAAGCTAACATAAAGATATTTCTTACCCAAGAACCACAATAATTTTCCTACATTCATTATTTAATACAAACAGTTAAGGATAAAACAAATCCACAAGGGCCGTGACGAGGATTCGAACCTGCGTCCGGGAGCATCCCAGACACTGCCTTAATCGACTGAGCTAAGGATAGTTTCAATACAGTAATTACGAGTGTTTCCCCTACAGCCCTGAGCCACCGTGCCTTCACTCAGCGCCCCCGGAGCACAAACCCACGCTTGGGGAAGCATGTTCTGGGGACACCAAGCTGGGCTAAACTTTCAAAGCAACTGTGGGAGGGAGGGAGCGGTTGTGCATGCTAATTCCATTCTTGCAACCCTGATATTTCCCCCAATAAAACCTTTTTAGCTTACAACTTAAAAAAATATTTAACGTCGCAAAATATTTGGTTCTCGTTGAAGCAGCTTTATATTTATTTACCATGAAATATTATTTCTTCTAAAAAAAGCACGAGTTTCCCCTCTGCATTACGTGAGGGGTGTCTGGTTTTCCTTTACTGGAGCCGCACCTCCACCAAAACAAACGATAGATTTGATCCTAAATGAGGTAGATGTCGAGAACATCGAATATGAGATATGAGAAAATACACATACACACTACCGGGTGAACCATGATGAGCTCCAAACTCCCCAAACACACACATATATACACCAGAGGTCCATTTCATGCCACTACGAGCCAGTCCATTTCATGGCCCTAAGAGCCAGGGACCACTGCGTTACTGTAAAAGTTACTTAGTAAGAGTTGAAAGAATTAGGCCACCAACCAGGTAGAGTACAAAGCGAGTAAAGAGGGAGAAGAATTACCTAATAGAAGTTTAATTGAGGGAATCAGTTGTAGGGAAAGTGTTTAATAAATGTAACCAAAGCCGTCAAAGATTGAGGAAAGATGTACACGTTCGTAAGTGCTTGCAAAAAAAAAAAAAAAAAAAAAAAAAAAAAAAAAAAATGCCTCTAACCGGAACATTACAATCACCACCACCACCACCACCACCACCACTACTTGCACTACCACCACCACCACCACCACCACCACCATCATCATCACCACCACAAGACCTCGCCAGAGGCCTCGCCAAGCTCTCCCCTCCCTACATCGCACCATCAACTTTGTCCTTCGCTGATTTAGAGATAAATTTATGTCTTTAGCTCCTCCATATGTCTCACCCTCTGTCTGTCTCTCTCTGTCTGTGCCTGTCTCTTTTTTTTAACATTGGATAGGAGTCATTCGGAACTGGCAAGCAAGAGCTGTTATGGTACATCAGCTTACCTGAAGCCTGCTCCTACAGACCTATAGTTGTTTGACCAGATTATTTGTATCCATTAGAAATAAGCTAATTTTAATGCTGATTAACTATCATATAAAGAACGTGATAAGCAGGTGGCCAACTGTGTGTCAGAGCCTTCATATGGACTG